ATTAATTAATTTAGTACATTTCACATAAATCTTTTTTTTTGTTTTCATATTATATTCAAATTTATACCGATTCACATTTTAAATCTTAATAAATTTTCAATTAAATTTAAATCTTAATAAAGTTTTAAACGAATCAATTTAAAATTTAATATAATTATTCATTATAACAATTCACTAAAAACAATTCATAATTTTAACATTATACGTAAACATTAGTCTTATTAAATGAACTAGAAAAGAATTAAATAATTAATGAATTAAATTTAATTTGAATATTGCTGAAAATAATTTGAGAGTTTGCACTAAAATTATTTAAAATTAAAGATACTTACTTTATTAAATTTTCATTTTTGGTTTATAATTTTCTACTATTTTATCAAGCAAAGTCTTAAAATCCGCTAGATCAACTTCTTGAAGATAATTAAATGTAATATTCAAATCTCTTATTTCTTCAAGAAAATCTTCAAGACAAATACCATTACTTTCTATTACAAGCACAACCAAATTGAAAGTCTTCCTCCAACATGATATCTCTGTGCTACATCTATCAGGAATAGATTGTTTGATCAATTTATTTATTTCATTATCTTTTTCATTTGAAAAGTAAAAGATTTTTTTTGGATATCATCATATATTAGTTTGAATTGAAAGAATTTACTATAAACTTCTGCCCAGTCTTGGTCAATTTTATGTTGTCTTTTTGCATTTAGCAGTGATTGATTTAAAGTTTTCCATTTAGCTGGATTATATGTTTGTGACTTTGTTGTTACTGGTGAAATGGTTGGAGGAAACAATTCTTTATTATCAATTTGTCTAACATAAATGCTTGTATGAGTGGTTTTCTTTTGTTTCGGAGGCACAGTAGTCATCGTACGAAGAAAGAAAAAACCAATGTACATAAGAAGATTCTATGCTTTTTTTATATATTTTATCCATGAATTGTTGATCATAACTATAACGCCTACATTAGAACCTATTATTCCTAATAAAACACCCTATTACTAAATAAGGTCTAAATTAGATAACACAAGTCCTATAAGGAAGTAGACTCCACGTTAGCTTAAACTGACTCTTTTTTAGTAAGGTAGCAAAGAAGAATGGAGGTTTCATTACTACCTTCTTGAAACTTTTGATTCACTTGGGTGGTTTCTTTTCTTCTTTTGCGATTGGCAGCATAGCATAATCTATTATGTCACGCCACAAACACTATAACAATTGAAAGTAAGTCTTTCGAGAGTTCTCCAGTTTTGTTATCGTTGGCACAAATATCTAAACCGAATACCACGAGCCGTGTTCCATTTTTTTCAAAGATTCACTCCACAAGTTCAGATCCAAAGTGACACAATTAGTCTTTTTGGGTAACCACCACTTCTTGGTCAAAAAATTAAAATATAAATATATGAAATTAATTTATATGTACCTAATAGATTGCTTGTATCTCG